CACCGCGCTGCCAGGCAGCTCGGGCAGGCGCATGAGAAGATTAGCTCTGGGCTGCGTCTTCCTTACCCCGAAGGCGGGGCAGGGTCCTGATCCGGAAAGGAGGTTGGGGTGTGGGCTGCGGTCCAAACTAGGCGCGCCCTTGGCGCTAGATTGGTGGTTCCCAGTACCCTGGAGGCTCTTTTCCGTCAGGATGTGTCTGAGCCTTTACTTGAGCGTAGGCGGTTTGATTTAATTGGGGCGAAGTGAATGAAGTCTTCTCTGTCAAGCTCCTGCTTGATTAAACCTGTGCCATCGAAATATTAGCCGCAGGCCTCATACAGGGGGCCCAAAAGCAACACCCCCAACCTGCCCCCTCAGTTTCTAGAAAGCTAATTATCTCATAAAGGTATATAATGTCTTCTGGTGACAAAGGGAAAGGCAACAACCCAGGACCCAAAGGAGAGGAAAAAAAAGTTTCTGAGAGCCTAAAAACTCTAAAGCCGAGTTTATCATAAGCTTTGGTTCTGGTGAGCGGAGATTTGTGCCTCTGTCTATAATTGTGCCCTACTCGCCAGGCAACCAACAACCTCCCTGCACTTCCAGCTTCAAGACTGGAAGCAACTCTAGAGTTCCAAGAGTGAAGCTGTGCAAACAGATTTAACCCCCAGGGTTGCCTTCACGCTCAGCACTCCCAATCTTTACCCTAACTGCAAATGCTCCGGGTCACCTCCCTTACTCCTGCCTTTGCGCCCAAATACAGTACAGCTGGGACAGCTTTCCTCTCTACTGCGTTTGGTAATCGCCACTTGTCCTCTGATTTCCAGCTGCCCGAAGCCCTCCCTGCCCTTTATTCACATTGTACCAGGGTGCCATCTCCTTTGTAGAGGACGGCAGAGGATTTCTACAATGTGATTCTAGCTCGTGATAGATGCAGAACCCCTGCTTGGGAGGTGCAAAACCTACACATAGAGGCAGTGTACTTTAATAGAAATAGTAGAATATATGCACTTTTTTGTACATTGAGCTCCTTCTGTATTTGCCATGATTTGCTGGATGCTGGAAACACACAGGAAAACAGGAAAAATCTAAGAAGGCAGCCTACAGAAATAAATAAAAGCCACTGAGGTATAAGACATCCGTTTCTAAGAATTTTATTTATGTTTTGTGTGCTTTTAATATATAATAATCATAAATATACAATTTATAAATGAATACACAAAATGAACATCCAAAAATATATACTCAAAAGTGATTAGCTCATGAAGTGTATAATCAAAGCAGTTAATAAAAAGACATTAATAATAGAGTGTGAAATATTTTGCCAGGAGAAAATCGATGGCTGTAGGATACCCCCGCCCCCTGCCCATGAGAAAAGAACCCCTGAACATCCAAGTGATTCAAGACAGAAGAGGAGGAGAAGGCTAGGGCAATACCTTGCAAGTGTTCATTAACAGTAGAAAAGAAAAAAAGAAAGAAAAAGAAAAACTATCATGAAGAAGGCAGAATTTAGGACAGAGTTCCTTCATCTAAGAGAAAAGATGCAATACAGAGCAATCACTTAGAAAATGAGATTATGGGCTGGGGATTTAGTTCAGTGGTTTGGGCGCCTGCCTCGCAAGCAAAAGCACTTGAATTTGATCCCTGGTACCAAAAAAGAAAGAAAAAAGAAAAGAAAATGAGATGAATTGCACAGTTCCTTCAGCAATATTCATATTTCTTCTTCTCATTTTCTAAAAATCTTTCATCCATTGAGTATAAAAGCAAGGTATGGAAATGTAAGTGACTTAGGATGGCCAAAACCATCTAGAAAAAAAAAATCTTTCTTTCCAATTTGAATATTTATGTTTTAGTCACTTTTCTTCTGGCTGGCACAAACTACCTGATATCTGTAATTTAAAGGAGGAGAGGTTTATTTTGGCTCATGCTTTCAGCCTGTGCTCAGCTGGTTCCAAGGCAGAAATAATATGGCAGAGGGGCATAGCAGAGGAAAGGTGCTCACTTTATGGTGGCCAGGAAGCAGAGAGCAAAGGTAGGAGCCAGGGAGAGAGCTTGAAAGGGCAAGTGAAAGGCAGCAAGAATGAAACATTGAGAGCAGCAGAACTTTTGTGCAGAGATGGGGAGTCAGGGAGGACAACTATCAGAATGAGAATGGAAAGATTGGGACCTAATATACTGTAATGAGGCCCTAAGTGTTTTTACTAGTGACATTGGAAGTGTCCAAAAGAAAGGAATGAAAGGTCCAAATCTGTGTGTTAGAGAAAATAGGTTTTTGGATTGGGTTTTTTTTTTTTTTTTTTTTTTTTGGGGGGCGGGGGGGGGGGGGGGGGAGAAGGGACAGATGGGGGGGGGGGAGAGGAGAGTTTCTAGTCCGCCTGGGAGCTGACGAGAAGGCTGTTTTTTTTTTTTTTTTTTTTTTTTTAGTGGAGCGGGGAGGGGAGGGAGAGGGATCAGACAAATCAATTAGCAGGTTATGGTGAATAATCGTGGCAAAGGCTAAGACAGTCAAGATGAATTGCAAGCCAGGTCTGAGGCCGTCCTTACATAGCCTTCCCCTAGCCTTCCCCAAGAGAACTCCAGGGTTCTTTGTTCTGCAGAAACCAGAGGAGAGCTAAGGTTTACTGGGTAGATTTCAGAGCCTAAAACATGCTCACTGGGAGGTAAATCAACACACATTTGACAAGTCACCAACCCTTGATTAAGAACCTGGAGTTGTTACAAAATAACTTTCACAGAGTTTATTGACTGACTTGCCCTAAATTGATTGTTTTGTTTTGAATGAGGTTATAGAAACACTAACAATAACAAAGGAGCCTAAAGATACCTGGTCTGTAAACAGGAATTCTTCTTTCAACATTGCCTGCAGGCTGAGCTTTATCTGTCCTTCAACTCATAAAAATCATATTATATGTTTGTATTTTAGAGTCTCTGATTTTCTCATTTTCACCCAACACTGACAGTTACCATCTAGATTCTGACCTGAATTTTCTTTCTAACCCAGATCTGTTTGCAGAACTTTAGCTTTTGAGTAAATTAGGATCATGCTTTACTCCAATGACAGAAAATCACTTCTAGGGCCTTAACCCTAAATAGGTGCTATTTTTTCTCGGGTGGTAGACAGCCCAGGGCACTACCTCAGCTGTCCTCTGTCCCTGTCTTCTTGCCCTTTGTATATGGCTTAATCCTCCTGGTCACAAAATAGCAATTTGTTGTCCAAATCACTCAACCCTGTTTAAGCAGGAAGAAGGGAAAAGGCGAAAGATAAATGCCTGCTTTCAAGAAAACAATAGCCTCTTCAGAATAATGTCCATTTAGATCTGTTTGCTCAGAACAAGGGCTTCAGGGACAGTCAGAGAGTCTGGGAAGACAGGCAAGAGAGACTAGGAGAGTGCCTCCTTCAGTTGGCAGTAGTACCATTCCAAAGAAAATTGGCTTCTGACAAGGAAGAGCTAGGGGGCAAGGGTACTGAGCAAACAGCTGACAGGATCCTCCACGGACCTACATTTCCAACTATCTTTCGAGCAGCTGTGTTGGGTATTTCATAAGAAACTCAGATTCAGTATGTTCTGGAGTGGCCTCATTATTTCCTCTCCACACTGGCTCCTCTTTCAGTGGTTTCTTTACGATGGTGAAATTCACAACCATTGATCTAATTTGCTGAAGAAAGAAGCCTTGAATACTCTTTCTCCCCACCCCGCCACATCCAATCAGTAATCAGCCTCTGTTGGTTCTTTTATTTGTCCTCTTACCTCCTTCTTATACCATCATTGTCTCAATCCAGGCCATCATTGCCTGTGCCTTGATAGCCTGAGTAGTCTTGTCCTATCCTATCTCACAACCTCTTCTTTACCTCGGGGCTGCCAGAACAGTGTTTCTTAAACTCAAAACCATTAGTGTACTCCTCCAAATAAACAAATAGCTTTCAGTCATTTTCCACCACTTGTAAGATAAAGTCCAAAGTCCCTAACAGCACCAGCAAACCACTGTGACCTAGATCCTGTCCATACCTTAAGTCTTGCGGTTGCATTTCTAAAATATTTTCTGATCTCCAAAAGAGCTTCTCTTACTCCTGGGCTTTTGTGAACAGTGTTCCTTCAGCTTGAATTTCCCCTTTCTGCCTCCTTTGCTAATTTGTTCCAATTTTTCAGTCTCTGCCCAGACCAGGCTTCCTCCAGAAACTCTGCTCGAGTCACTCATTGTCACTCTGCACTGTAGTCATCCATTTTTTTTCACCAGACCAGTGACTCCCAAACTTTACATCAGAATAGCTTATTTTGCTAAAGAAGCAAAATCTCTAGGGTCCCTTGGAAAATCTCATGTTGAGCAAGAATCATATGTCATTGCAAGGCAGATGGTCCAGGAACCATATCTTGAGAAACACTGAAGCAGACTCCAGAAAGCCACTGTACAAGAGAAGTGTCTTTGTCCCCAGTGTGTCCCTAGTGCCAGTACAGAGCCAGGTACAAAGTGGGTCACCTATTTAACTCTTAGTTCTTTCACCTTCCTCTCCTCTATTACATATAATTATGATTACTAGTTATAGGATGGCACAGGTTTTGATGTCAGATAGGTAGAATGATCAATCCATTCATCAGTCAGTACTGTCTCTTTCACTTATTCTCCATTGCTTATGGGATCAAGTTCAAACTTCCTGACAGATCTGTGATTAGAACTAGCATTGACTTTTATTTTCTCTGAGATTTTGAGCAATTTGATTCAACTATATATGATATGGCTCCATCTAAAAATATAAGCTAATATTTTTACCAGTCTCTAG